TTTCTTTGAGTATCTTAAATATGTTACTCTATTGTCTGTAGCATAAAACATTGCTGTTAAAGTTTGGCAACTCTGTTTTTCTTTCTTTTATAAACAACTTGTCATTTTGGCTGGAAATAATTTTACTAGATTACTTATTGTGGTGGTCATTATGGGTTGATTTCCCCAGGTATGTGATGTGTTTTTTAAATATATAGTGTCAAGTTATTTTTCTGTTTCTTTGCTTTGCCCTCTTTGCCAAGTTTGTACCTTGGGAGCACCTTTTATAAACGTTTTAGATCTTCTTTGCCAACCTTTTCCTTTTGTTACTTTCTTCCAATCTTTCAGATCTCCTTTTTCATTTCTTTTTGACTTTGAAAAAATTTCCCCCTTTCATTTCCTGCTTCTTATCTTTATTATCTGTAGTATCTATTCAGTTGTGTTCCTTCTAGTCTATCCTTCATTCCGAGTTTTTCTTTTGTCTCTAATTCCTGAGTTCTGCCCATTCATTTCTGAGTTTTTCTAAGTCCAATTTGTTTTCTTAATAATTTTTTTAACTTGTTAGGGTTTTCATGTTTTATGGAGATGTCTAACATTCTATTGTCTGTAGAGATGTTACTGTGCTTATTCTCTTATTTCTTATCATAACTTTGGACAGGATTTGAGTTTGGTCCTTTTCTATTACTCATTTTTATGCAAATTCATTTTCCCAAACTTTTAGAGGAGGCGTAGGTTCAAAATAGCTTTTCTGACTTCATAGTTCTGGTAGTGGTTTTTAACTCAAAGTATTATTTATAAACAATTCATTCATTTTTAAGTGTATAGATTACACAACTGTAAGTGTAAGTGGTAGTTTTACACAATTTTGTAACCACTATCACAGTCAAGATGTGGAAGAATACTTTTACCCTCAAACTTTCTCATGTGCTTTTGCAGTTGGTTCCCTCCCTTCACATCTGGCCCTAGGCAATTATTAATTTTCCACCAGTATATTTTACCTTTTACAGAATTTCAGATACAGGATATCTTACAGAATATATCAACATTTTTTTGGCTTGATTTCTCTCACAAAATACGATATTTTTGAGATTCATTCATTTTGCTGCTTACTGTTCAGTATTTGCAAATGTGACAGCTCATTTTCTCCTGGCTCTGTTCTGTAGTACTTTTGTCTTTTTAACAATTACCCTGTTATCCCTTTTCTCCTCATTTTAGATTCTGTTCATAGGAGTTTTTCCTCAGTGTAAGATTTGTCCTAAAAAAGTACTTTGCACCATTGGTTTTGTGAGTTCATAGGACCTAGAGTTCTCAAGCCCCTTCAGGCCTTACTGTGGACTCCTTGTAGTCACTATTATCAAATGTACAACCTGCACTCCCAATTTCAGCTCCTCAAAATATCCTACTATACTTTCCAGTGAGTACCTGGTTGCTGTTTTGTGTTGTTCCTGTTTTCCGATTGTTAGAGTTCTGTTGCTTCTGTCTGCTGCTTCTCACATGGTTGCTGATAGCATTTATGTCTTATTGTTCATCCCACCTGCTTGCATTTCAGGGTTCTTAATATCTTGAGATGCAGTCATAATGTAGTACATGTTATCTGTGGGTCTTAGTTTGGTTATTAAATTCTCTGTTTTTATGGCAGGATTTAGGGAGACAAAAACTGCTTGAATCTAACAAAAAACAATTATTTCAGTAAAATATTATATCAAGAAAAATACCAAAAAATTACAAATATGTGTTACATTGATGAAATGATACATTTATTTCTACTTTTCATAATGTTGAGGGAGGGAGTGTTCTGCTTTTGTGATGGGGTATAGCCATTTGTGTTTATGTATTTTCTGTATCTTTTACATATGTCTACCACATTATTGTCTGTTGTCTTAGATTGTAAACTAAGAAAGAGTGATTGATGCATGGCATATGCCCATGAGAATTTGTTTAACTGTTTTTGTGAAGTAAAAACAAGTATATACACTATAGATTTTCTGTCATAAATCCTTCTTTCTGAATTTTAACCTAGTTGTTAAGCAAAATAGGTAATAAAGTTTCACTATTGTTTATTTATTATAAGGCATTGTAATTGAACTTTTAAATCAACTCATACGATCTCCTTGCTCAGGAAGGAAAATCATAAAAATAGAAAAAAGCTTGCTTTATTTTTGTGCTGGGGATGGTTTCAAGTCTTTTTTCGGTTTTCTGTAGAGACCAAGAAAGTGTTCTGCATAGGGAGCCAAAGAAAAAAATATTGAGAAACTTTCTAAATTATCTTAACTCAGTTGTTTAGAGTATAGCTTTACAGACAACTTTTTATGTACTTAGATCATTAGATATACCTACATCAATATACATAAGATAAGCTTCCAAAGGAAATACCCTTTGCTTTGGGAATACTCTTTGTAAATACTCTTTCCTATCATCTACTAATTTTTATTATAGCACCAGTCTTTTATTTGTGTAGGTCAGTGGTTCTTTAACTTTAATGTGCAGTAGAGTCCCCTGATGCTGGGCCCCTCCCAACACCTGTTTCTGTTTCAGATAAAGACAAGAGAGAGGTATGTGTACATATCTAAGAGTGAGCACAACCAAAGCTATATAAAACCTTCATGGGGAAAATTACAGAACATTACTGTTGGATATAATAGACATGAATAGAGGAATATACCAGCTTTGATAATGTGATATCTCTAAGATGTTATTTCTCTCTAAATTAATTCATTACATATCAAATCAAAATACCAATAAGGGCTGGGTGCAATGGCTGATGCCCATAGTCCCAGCACTTTGGGAGGCCGAGGTGAGCAGACTGCTTGAGTCCAGGAGTTTGACAGCAGCCTGAGCAACATGGCGAAACCCCGTATCTACTAAAAATAGAAAAAAATTAGCTGGGCGTGGTAATACATACCTGTAGTCCTAGCTCCTTGGGGCTGATGAGGGAGGATTGCTTCACCCCGGGAAGTCGATGATGCTGCAGTAAGTCCTGATCGTACCATTACCACTGCACTCCAGCCTAGGCGACAGAGTGAAACTCTATCTAAAAATAAATAAATAAATAAATAAATAATAATCACAGCAAGTTTCTTGTGAAGACAGAAGGTAAGTGAACCTAAAATTTACAAAGAAAATCAAAGGTCCAGTAGTAGCCAAAACAATCTTGAAGAGCAAGATAGGGGCCTTGCCGCTTTAGCTATAGATGCCAAGCCCTGGAAATTAAGAGACCGTGGTCCTGATTCAGAGATAGACAAAAAGATCAGTGGAACAGCATGGAGAAGCCAAAGACATATATAGAAATGCAATATGCAGTGAAAGTAACATTATAAATCAGCAGAGACATATGGAATGCTCTCTAATTGCTGCTTTGATCATTAGTTATATGGAAAATGTAATTGGATTTATAACTTCACACTATCCACAAAGATAAATTCTGGTGAATAAATTCAGAAAGCAGATCTTAAATTTATTAGAAAATATAATAATAAAATACTTAACTGCGGTTAAAATTTAAAAAGTACATATATCTTCATGTATAAATCTTAGAAATAGTGTAACATTGAGTATAGAGTCAATTTGTATGGTTAAGATAAAGTACCACTCATATAAAATGAAAAGCATGAAATGATACAGTTTTTTATAACAAATGAAAGCATACATGGTAATATACATCACATTGAAGATAATGTTTGCTTCTTTTCTTTTATTAATTTTTTAAAAAAATTTGAGACAGAATTTCACTCTTACCCAGGCTGGAGTGTAGTAGTGTGATCACAGCTCACTGCAGCCTTGACCCCCCAGGCTCAAGTGATCCTCCCATGTCAGCCTTCTAAGTAGCTGGGACTATAGGCATGTGCTACCATGCCTGGCTGATTTTTGTGTTTTTTGTAGAGAGAGCCATGTTGCCCGGGCTGGTCTTAAACTCCTGAGCTCAAGCAGTCCTCTTGCCTTGGCCTCCCAAAGTGCTGGGATTACAGGTGTTGAGCCACTGTGCCTAGCCAGCGTTTCCTTCTGGAAATCGTAGAGGGATGTGATTAGGGAGGGATATGTGCAGGCTACAACTGTAACTAAAGTTTTATATTTTAAATAAAAATGTTTTAAAGCAACATGTGACGAAACATTAACACCAAATGAATATCAGACAACAAAGAAATAGTTGAAGAAATTGTGGCCTCTATATACTATGAAATATTTTTCAGCCATTAAGGAGTTGTAGCTAGGTCATTTTTATGGAGGGACTTTCAAGAATTATTAAGTGAAGAGAACAGTACACAGAAATATGTTTATAAAATCATCTCAGTTTTATAGTAACAATATATAATGAGCATATATTTGACATTCTTGTGTATGACCAAAATATGAACATGAAAAAATATGAAGAGATTCATTCTAGTCTGTTAACATGAGAGATAACAGTCTTGGGAGTGAGGTGCTAAAGAAAGAAGAGAAGGAGGAAGGAATAGGGAGTCAAGAAAAATAGGAAACAAAAATGCACTAACCCAGCATGATATGATTTTGTTTATGTACTCAGGCAAATTTTTATACATATTTTTAGAAGGACTGTAGAATCTCTTTAAAGAGTGAGAGTTAACCTAATTTACTATATTTGACTGGAGACTGTGATAGAAACAGATTTAGCAGAAAGTCCCTCAAAGAAAGAGTTACTCAGTGCTGTATTCTGTGGCTAGAGTATTTAAACAAATAACGTAATCAAATTGAAATGATGCTTTTCAGTTTTTCTCCCTTCATATTTAGTAACATAATGGACCCTAATTTCAATGAGTTTTTCTTTTTAAATAATGATAAAGAACTCACAATGTGCTAGGTGATATAAAATAGCAGTTAATAAAGAGTATTCATTTTAATATTTTATGAAATAGAGCTTTTTGGCAGAGAAACTTTAGCTCTTTCTTTCTCTTTCTTTCTTCAACTTAGGAAAGAATAAGGAATAAATATCTTTTTTCCAAGACCTAAATACCAGCATTTCATGATAATAGACAAGTTATCTTTGAAATTTTCCTTTTTTCTTTCAGTGTGCAGGATGACAGAATTCGAGTTGAAAGGATGGATAACATTTATTTTGAATACAGCCATGCTTTCCAGGCAGTTACAGAGTTTTATGCAAAAGACACAGTTGACATCAAAGGTAAATATTTTCCCTGTAGGTCCTGAAGTTGAACTGATTGGAAATTTGGATAAAGGCATGAGTAGGATTCTCAATTTAATGACGTCTAGGTCGTTACTATAAATATGTGGGAGAAGAAGATCTCACTGTTGTTGTGCTCATCAGAAACACTATTGCACTGCAGTCCCAGCTACTGGTTAGGCTGAGGCAGGGGAGGATCACCTGAGCCCAGGAATTTGAGGCTGCAGTGTGAGCTATTATCACGCCATTGTAGTCCAGCCTGGAGTGAGACCCTGTCTCCTAAAAACAAAAAGAACCATTGCAGCTTTTTAAAAAATTATGACCAGCTAGTAACTTGATGGTTTTGACATATTCATTACAGTAGAAGGAGTTTTTGACCATCTTTCCTTTTTGCTTATCTTTTTTTTTTTTTTTGGAGACGGAGTCTCGCTCTGTTGCCCAGGCTGGAGTGCAGTGGCGCAATCTCGGCTCACTGCAAGCTCCGCCTTCCGGGTTCCCGCCATTCTCCTGCCTCAGCCTCCCAAGTAGCTGGAACTACAGGTGCCGCCACCTCACCCGGCTAGTTTTTTGTATTTTTTTAGTAGAGACGGGGTTTCACCGTGTTAGCCAGGATGGTCTCGATCTCCTGACCTCGTGATCCGCCCGTCTCGGCCTCCCAAAGTGCTGGGATTACAGGCTTGAGCCACCGCGCCCGGCACCTTTTTGCTTATCTTTAAAGATGGCTCATTAGTATCTTTGTATTTTGTAGACTGTTTGGATGATAAATATTCTGATGAAAACTAGCATTTTGAAATGTTGGTTGCCAAAATTAAAACACCAGAATGTTAGTGACAGGGTTGAAATATGTTAGGTAATCATTATTTGTCTAATTCACATGTCCACAGTCAGGCATTAATGCTTACTTTCATTTGTACCTCACATTCCTGCCAGTCCAGCTTATGTTAGGGTCCATTTTGTGGATGGTGAGGTGAATAGACATTTTCCCCCTTGGCATAAACTTGGCTTCACTCTGATTTTCATCAGACCCCATATGGAGGAAATTTATCCCTGTCACATGCTAGAGAGCGTTCATCATCAGCTCCCCGTCACTGCTCCATTTAAACATCAGTATCTGGTTAGCATTTCCTTGCATCTAGGCGTCAGTGTCTTGTTAGCATGTTTCTTAATTTCATGATGCCTTTGTCAAATTGAATCAAGTGTCTGAGCATGTATCCTACTTCTTTTTATTTTTTTCAATAAGGTCTCACTCTGTCACCCCGGCTGGAGTGCAGTGGCGTGATCTCAGCCCACTGCAACCTCTGCCTCTTGGACTCAAGCAGTCCTCCCACCTCAGCCTCCCAAGTAGCTGGGACTACAGGCATGCACCACCACACCCAGCTAATTTTTGTATTTTTTATAGAAGTGGTGTTTTGTCATGTTCCCTAGGCTGGTCTTGAACTCCTGGGCTCAAGCGATCCTCCCACCTCAGCCTGCCAAAGTTGCTGGGATTACAGGCATGAGCCACCATGCCCAACCAAGTGTATCCCACTTCTAACACCAGTATTCACTATTACCAAGGGGTCATCTTATGTTCAGCTAAAGACCTGATTAAATCCCAAGACTACAATGACCCATTCGTGGTATCAGATTTACTTAAAAGACATGGGCCAGAAAACACACCTTGCAAGTGGAGCATGTGTTCCCCTTAGTGGGGTAGTCCTCGCAGCAGTCTTTGTGGCAGAGCCCTGGAGAGTGTATGAAGGAAGGAGACTCACATTGAGTGAGCATAAGCGCCACCCTGGCTTAGAAGCTCCATGCCCTTGAGGAGACCGTATTTCTTGCTGCTGTCTCTGCAGAAGACATGCCCGGTTGCAAAAGTCAGTGCACTGAGAGAAGGCCAAAACTCTGAAGTCAGGTATTTATAATTCTTCTCAGTCCAGATATAATGTACTGATATTTGGTCATTTTTACCACAGACAGTGCTACTTCTAACACATTGATACACCACCTTAATCACATTTTCTGGGGAACAAAGCTAGAAAGTTAAAAGAAAATAAAATTCTCAGTGGAACGGAAAGGTGTTGTTAGCACTTCATTTACACTCTGGTTTTATAAACACCTGTAGTTAATATTAATAAGACATTTTATATTACTGATTTGTAGAGAACATCTTGTAATATATATATATTTTTACTTTTAAAAGTAATTAATGCTTATTGCAAGAAAGTCAAACAACATAGTTGTATATAAAGAAAAAAGTAAAGTGCCTGCCCTCAAACTTGTCCTCTGCCCTTGCCGCTTATATGTTGGAGGGATTATCATTAAAATTTGGCATATATCCTTGTGTAAAAATCCACACATCCACACATAAACTTACACACATAGTTCTCTGTATTTGTTTAACATAGCTGGGATTTATTCTTCAGCTAATTTTTTTGAATGCTTATTTTATATGCGAGGCATTGGGCATACAATAAGGAATAAAACAAACAAAAATTCCTGCTCTTTTGGAGTTTACATTCTAATGGTGAGAGATGGACAATAAAGTAAACTAGTGTGTTAGAAGGTGATATATGCTATGAAAAAAGTAGGGCAGGGGAGTGGGTTGAACTTTTAAATAGGATGGTAAAGAAAGGCCTCACTGAGAAACGGCACTTGAACGAAGATTTGAATAGAGACTGAAGGAGTTAAGGGAAAAAGCCACATAGATGTGAAGAAACAGTATTTCAAGCGGAGACAACAGTAAGCACAAAATATCTTAAGGTAGGAGGGTGCTTGGCATGTTTAAGGAATAGCAAGTAGTCTGTGTGCTGGAACAGAGTAACTGATGGGGACAACATTAGGAGGTGAGCTCAGAAATAAAGAAGAGATGGCAGGCAGATTGTGTAGGGTCACTGTAAGGACTTTGGCTTCTACTCTCAATGAGTTGGGGGATGTTGGAGGACTTTGGGGCAAAATAGTCTAATGATCTGATATACATTTTAAAAAGAATTACTCTGGCTGCTCTGTTAAGAATACCCTGTAGGGTGCAAGGATGAAGCAGTGAGACCAGATGGAAAGCTGTTGCAGTGTTTGTGGTGAGACATGAAAATGATCAGACAACTTTTTTCCCCCACTTAGCAACATGTTATAGATGGCCTTCTATATCAGTGCAGATAACTGGAAGTAATTCCATTTAGTTGGTACATAATAACCAGGATTTATCAAGCTTTACTTAAGTACTATGCTGTTAATGTTGATTTAGGTGGCCTCTAGTTTTTTTAATACTCCAAAAGATTTTTCAAGTCACCTCCTTATACACACAGCCTCGACATGCAGTTTGGAATATTTCTAGGCAAAGGGGATGGACATTTTATGTTTTGAAAAAATATCCTGTTCTCCAAAAAAGGTTCATTCCACCATCAGAAAAATGCCCCTTTTTTCCATGCCCTGGGTATTAGTAATGATTTACATTTTTTCCAAAGGTCAATTTTAGGAGATATTGTCTAAATTACTATTTCAATAACCATAAAATTTTACTTAAAATTTGTGTTTCATAATGGTAATAAGTTAATGATTCTATTTATTACATTTTTGAATTTGATTAATTAAAATTTTTTTTTAATAAGTTAATATATTCTGTTTTCTAGGTTCTCAAATTATTTCTGGCATTGTTAACTTAGAGAAGCCTGTGATTTGCTCTTTGGCTGCCATCATAAAATACCTCAAAGAATTCAACTTGGAAAAAATGCTCTCCAAACCTGAGTGAGTGATTCCTCCAAAATTACAAAAAGGAGGAGGCTATATTATGAACATTTCTTAAATTGAATTTGGTAGTACTATACTTAGAGAAGCTTGCCTGCTATTGATAGAATACTAGGGTGCAAGGATGAGCTGTTTGGTATTGTTGCTGAAGAATATTAAAAATATATTGATAGAATTCTGTCAAATAAATTGTATTCATGGTAGCTGTTTGATATATTATAGTTTTGACTACAAAACTGCTTTATACTAACTGGATCCAGAAATAGTATTAAAAAGCATTCATAAAATTTTACCACCTTTCTTATTCTTGGTTTCATTTCTTATTTCATAGACCATAAAGTTAGAGAGAAAAGGGCCAGCTGCTAACACAGCTTTTTACAAGAGTGATTAACTGTGGATTTTGGAAATTTAAAAGCTCACAATTGACATTCTAGGAAAATACTTGTTTAATAACCAGTGGAACAGAAAAAAGTAGTAGGATACTTTTCTTGTCTTTTTACATTCCACCTTCACCAGCCACTTGTCTTTGGCTTTGTCAAGAATCACCCTCCACTATATTGATCCAGGATACATCAGCTCTGTCCCATTCTGCACAGGTGGGAGGGGAGATGGGTGCTATCTCAGCAAAATGACAGAATATAAATTAACTAGGAAACAAGGAAGTGGTGCTGGTTCAAGGTTGCTGGAGAGAGTCGAAGAAAGGTAGGTTCCTTGGGGTTCTTTTTGTAATGTCTTTGATGTGTGTTCTCCCGTGTGGTACTAGAACAGAGTATCATTTCTCTGGAAACAATTTTATCCTATTTAAAAGCAATCTAAATACCCATCAGGGATCTTTGTGCTATATTCATGCAATGTAATGTTATACAACAGTGAAAATGAATGAACTAGAGCTATTAATATACGACCAATACTTAAATTTCATGAACAGTATATTAAGCCAAAAATAAAGTTGCTAAAGGCCACACAGTACATACCATTATATGAAGTTAGAAACATGTGAAATCGTGCTCTATACTGCTTAAGAATATATATGTACTTAGGGAATAAGTGAAAACATGCAGGGGAGTGACAGAAAATTCAGAAGCAGGGTTTCTTCCAGGAGGAAGAAGGGAAAGGAGTAAAGATTGGGGATGGATGTGGCATAGTGGAGTTCAACTGATGTTTCATTTCTGAACCTGGGTATTGTATTAATCTGGTCATTTTTTAGTGTGGCCAAAATGTTTTATTTTAAAACGTGTCAGCCTGGCATTATACCCTCATTGGATTCTACTTTAAGCTCCAAAAATAAACTTATTAAAGAGATCAGTCTATATGGTTGGCTGTGTTGGGGCTTTTTAAAAAAGGGGTGACAAGCTACCTACCAGTTTGACTTGTTAATGATAGGGACCCTGTAAGTGAGGTAGAATTAGTGATAAATAGCTTGCCCATTAAGACTTGTGTTTCTGTTCTATATCACCAAGCAAAGAAGTATTAATGTTGGAGTAAGGAAACTAACTTAAAAATCAGGCCCTGGTGTGTTCAGAAGCAAATGAATTTGGACCTGGAAAGATGTGTCCTCCCCATATGTGTGTGTATATATATATATATTTTTTTTTTTTTTTTTTTCTTTTTCTTTAGATGGAGTCTAGCTCTCTTGCCCAGGCTGGAGTATAGTGGTGTGATCTCAGCACACTGCAGCCTCCACCTCCTGGGTTCAAGCAATTCTCCTGCCTCTGTCTCCCGAGTAGCTGGGATTACAGGTGCATGCCACCACGCCCAGCTAATTTTTTGTATTTTTAGTAGAGACAGGTTTGGCCAGGCTGTTCTTGAACTCCTGGCCTCAAGTGATCCGCCCGCCTTGGCCTCCCAAAGTGCTGGGATTATAGGCGTGAGCCTCTGCGTCCGGCCGGTCTTCCTCATATTTAATTCAAAGTAAGAATAATACCAAACAATAAAACAAGATGTCTGTATATACTGAAATTAAAATAGCATCTTTTCCAATTACCTGAAGGTTAACCTCTTGATAAATTGAAAGAAGCTGAACTTTTTGCCTCTTATAATTGATGGTGGAGGATGGTCAGGAAACTGGCTCTGCTAGTGACTTAGTGTATGATATAATGTACCTGGAAAGCCAAAAGACATAAAGTGCTCCCCTTTGTATATATTCCCAGCATCCAGCATAAGCCTGGCACCTAGTAGGCTTTTCTTATATATTATTATTATTATTATATATAGTATTAATACAGGATTAATGAAAGAAGGAAGGAATTCTTTGTTCTGTGAGGGTGTATTTCACTGGAAATTGCCAAAAGGTCATTGGAAACCAAGATTAATTAATGAAGGTGGTGATCAAACTGGTACTCTAGTTTTGCTTAAAAACGAAATGTTGTGTTTATGAGTGGCATGTAATTTGACTCTGAAGATCATTCTAAAAGAGTAATTCTATAGTTCTTATATTTTGCAAAAATAATGTTGCTGCTTTTTTTTTTTTTTTTTTTTTTTGTGAGAGAGAGTCGCTCTGTTTCCCATGCTGGAGTGCAGTGGCATGATCTTGGCTCACTGCAGCCTCCGCCTCCCGGGTTCAAGTGATTCTTCTGCCTCAGCCTCCCAAGTAGCTAGGACTACAGGCACGCACCACCACGCCCGGCTAATTTTTATATTTTTAGTAGAGACAGGTTTCACCATATTGGCCAGGCTGGTCTCGAACTTCTGACCTTGTGATCCACCCCCCCCGCCCCCCCGGCCTCCCAAAGTGCTGGGACTACAGGCGTGAGTCACCGCACCCGGCTGCTTCTTAAGGTGATTACTTTGGAAAAATGAATTTTCTCCTTGTAAATGAAAAATTCAGTTGCATTACTTTATAAACATACCTTATGCTGCTGAAGTTTTGGACTTTTATTTCAAAAGCTGTGTTATCAAGGGGAAAATAAAGTTCACTTGAATTGGCTTGTTTAGCAAATTCTTTCACAAACATTACTGCATGTTTCATTAAAATCGTGATACGTATTTATTTAAAGGCCCTTGTGCCATTACAGTAGAATTTTAGGTAGTCTGAGAAAATATGCCATTTTAGGAATTGTTCTTAAGGATGATTTAAGTGAAGTTTTGTTAAGGCAGACTTGAGGTTCTAAAGTTATTTTGAGAGTTTAAGTTTGTTTCAAAGAAAAATAGTGTAACAAAATAGGCCGGGCGCGGTGGCACAAGCCTGTAATCCCAGCACTTTGGGAGGCCAAGACGGGCGGATCACGAGGTCAGGAGATCGAGACCATCCTGGCTAACACGGTGAAACCCTGTCTCTACTAAAAATACAAAAAAAAACTAGCCGGGCGAGGTGGTGGGTGCCTGTAGTCCCAGCTACTCGGGAGGCTGAGGCAGGAGAATGGTGTAAACCCGGGAGGCGGAGCTTGCAGTGAGCTGAGATCCGGCCACTGCACCCTAGCCTGGGCGACAGAGCAAGACTCCGTCTCAAAAAAAAAAAAAAATAAATAAATAAATAAATAAATAAATAGAATGTGAGGGTGTTAGATATTTTTTATGACAGAATTAACCTGATGCCTAAATTTATGAAATTCAAAGGAATCAACTTTTTGTTGTTAGAAGTGAGTGCTTTTGTCATTTTGGATAGTTTTTATTTGGAGTGGTCACAACTTCAAAAATATACTGGAAATTTCAGGAAAGAGTGAGAAAATCCACCCAAGATAAACTGTAAAACCTTTTTTTTAAAGAAAACTTCTTATGATAACAGAATGATAACATGTGGTGATTACCTTTACTTACTAGTGAAAGAAATGGCTTAATATATAAGCTACTCTAATGACATCTAATGGCTAGCAGCCAGGGATGCTGCTAAACATCCTAAAATGCACAGGATATCCCTACAGAACACATTATTTAGCCCCAAATTTCAACACTCCAAAACCAAACAAATATATTACAAGAAAACAAACCACAGACCTGTATTTTTTTATTATAGACATAAAATTCCTCAGTGAAATGTAAGTACGTGGAATCAAATATATAACAAATGATTATACATCATGACTATTGGATTTATTTTAGGCATACAGGTTTGGTTTAAAAATCTGGAAACTAATTAATCTAATCTCGCTTATCAAAAACTACATGATAGTCCCAATAGACAGGAAAAGCTCTTCATAAGATTCAATACCCCTTCATAATAAAAACACTGAAAAAACTACGACTAATGTGGAACTTTCTTGACCTGACAATGGACATTTAAGAAAACCTCACAGACATTAAACTTATCTGTTGTTAAGATACAGTATTCCGGCCGGGCACGATGGCTCACGCCTGTAATCCCAGCACTTTGGGAGGCCAAGACAGACGGATCACGAGGTCCGGAGATTGAGACCATCCTGGCTAACACGTGAAACCCTGTCTCTACTTAAAATACATAAAAATTAGCTGGGCGTGGTGGTGGGCACCTGTAGTCCCAGCTACTAGGGAGACTGAGGCGGGAGAATAGCATGAACCCAAGAGGCGGAGCTTGCAGTGAGCTGAGATCATGCCACTGCACTCCAGCCTGGGAGACAGAGCGAGACTCCATCTCAAAAAAAAAAAAAAAGATGCAGTAATCCTCAGATCACTCTCTAAGTTCAATGCAATTTTTGTATCAAATCCCAGCTGGCTTTCTTGGAGAAATTGACAAGCTGATCCTAAAATTCATAGGATTCATATCTCTGTTTCAAAACTTGCTACAAAGTGAGTAATCAAGACAGTGTGGAGTGTGGGGTTAAAAGAAAAGACAGTGTGGAATTGGCATAAGCACAGACATGTGATCAATGTGATAGAATTGAGAGTCTAGAAATAAACTTATGGACATTTGATTACTGACAATTCAGTGGAGAAAGAATAGATTTTTTTCAAACAAATGGTGCCAAGATAGCTGTCTATGCAAGAGAATGAAGATGGAGCCTTACTTCCTGTCATATTTGAGTTTGGAAGATAACTCACAATGGACCAAAGACCTGTTATGAGTTAAAACTGTTACACTCTTTGAA